GTGTATAGGTAGAAACTGCTGAATTAAGATCACCATCTATTTAAAAGTAACTTGACATAACTTTTTTTTTCTTTCAAGCTTAAGTACCATGTTGTATGTCTACTGTGTTTGCCATTCAGATAATTCCCCAAGTATTTGCAAGTACTGCACTCTACCACAGTATCAAAGAAAGCTTTCTGACCATCTCCATCTCTGTGCGAATCACAAAATATTAAAAGTAAAATATCAAAATATATCCCAATGAAATAAATAACTGCAAAATATCAAAACAACGTAAGCTCCCAATGGGCAATGCCGCAGCTTCTCAACGTGAGTTTCTTTGCTATGTTTTGTTAAGGACATATACTGTACCTGCACTGAACTGCCTATAGGCATTGCTCTATGGTACAAATAAATGATTTATACAGTGTACTGTATTATGAGATGATATTTATATTATATATAGTATATTCAGATGAAATTCATATGAAAATATAAGAACCTATTTTAAGAACCTTAGTAGCCTAAATTTGCTTTAAATACCATTTATATAAGAACCTATTTAGGCTAAATTGAAAAATTCAGGTTCTTATACGTGGGCTATTACTGTATTTCCCTTTTCTCGTTTTTACGGAATGATCGTAAAATCGCTGTGCTATGTTGCTTTTTCACACTAATTCCATGCTCCTTGATGAAATACGCATTCGTTTCAGTGGGAAATGAAATGGAATAGTCCTTTCCACTAGAAAGATTTTGACTGCTGTCAAATGGTACACACTCGACCCGTCTCATTTTATTTGTTGAAAATTTCTGCTGTTTCATTTGGCGGAAATTTTCACCGTTTTTTTTTCACCCGAACAGAAAGAGCTCTACGTTAAACTAATTCGTTCTTTTTTGTGGGTCATTTTATTTTGCAAGCAAAAAAGTACAGTAGAAAACTGGTCAAAATGATATTACTGGAGAAAACTTACTTTTTAGTGGTATTGTTTTTAATTTTAACGAGTGTTCAAACCTGTAATACTATGCAATTTCCTAAAGGAATATTTTCTATTTCACGGAGAACACTGGGAGATATTAAAGACGGTACCTACTAAATACAAAGGTTTTTGCGCCAGGTTAGGACCACGCGGAAAAAGTGGATCTTTGCAAGGGCTATTGGAATCCAGCAAGAAAAATAGGAGAAGCCACGCATTTTTTCGAGATAATTAGCCTTGAATCTCAAAAAAATGCTGACATCAGCATTTTTCTGAAAAAACAAGGAAAGCGTATTTCTTTACAGATTTCCTTACAATTCGCCTTTACATACAGAAAAGCAAACACATTTAAAAAGATCTTTAAACTACATGGCAAATGGTAACATAAAAACCCTTTTTGGTATGTTTTAAATAACAAAATCGTTGCAACAGCACTTTTAGTGTCTCTGACAGCCTACCTCTGGTTCAGCTAAAATACAGTCTAAATACCTTTTGCTCACAACCAGAAACTAATCACGTGTTGAATAGGCTT